GCAGCTTCCAAGAAACAAAAATTCGTTTACCTCACTCACGTCTGTGCCTGTGATATTATGCACCACGATTTTATTTCCAACTACTCTGTTATCTACAGTGTGGGAATCCCGCTTTATATAAGGCCAGGGGTCTACAACACATCGCGCTCGATAGCGGCGTTCGTGACAAGCCCCGCCAGAAAAGTCCAACGCGTCATGCGATCGTAGTGCATGCACGCCCCACACTCCCGATCGCATCTTATCCTACACCGCAGCCGATCTGGAATCTCACGTGCTTGTAGCGGTACCGGGCGCGGCACCACCCCGTCGGCTCTGACGTCCGGCCCGGCCACAGCGGCCTGCTGGCCCTTCGGCCGTGCAGTGGCGGGCGCGTGGGAATACGTCGGCGCGCCGCTGCCGCCGGCCGCCGCCCGGTCAGACTGAGGGTGGCGTCACCGGGGACGGGAGGGTGGGTGGCGGCGCCCGGCCCGGCTGTCCAGAGCCGGGAGGCGGCTCCGTGGGGCTGGGACGGGGGCTGCGCCGGAACAGGGCCGGGCTGGAACAGAGGCTGGGCTGGAACAGATGCCGAACTGGAACACCGCGCCAACATGCGTCCGCCACCCATATCGAGTTCAAGTCTCCCGACACCCTTCCCTGGATCCCTCAGCCCCTCCCCTCCTTTCGCGGTCCCCACCAGCGCCAGCGGCAGCGGCGGCGCGCGGCGGGATGCCCCGGGCGCCAGCGGCGGTCACCCGGGCCGGCCGGACCCGGGCGCCGGCGCCGGAGGGTCGGTGTGGGGTTACAGGCGTCACGTGATCCGCCCTCGATGCAGCCGACTGCAGCGCGGATCTGGTGGCCGCGCGTCGGCCGGCCGACTGACACGATCGGGCAGGGCTCGCTCTCTGGGCCGGAGCGAACCGATTGGGGCGAGCGCCGGCCGGTGTCGGGTCTGGGCGCGGCGTCATGCCTCCGAAGCACCTGCACCCTCTGGTCTGATCACACGCGTCTGACGTTTCCACCCGCTCTCCTGCAGTCTCGGAGGCCTCTGCGGTCTCTGAGGATGCGCAGTCTCTGACGCTCCCGCGGTCTCTGAGGATAGATACGGCGTGACCGTTAAGTCATAGTGTTAAAGGTTTTGTTCATAAGGGATACGCGCTGTTAATTCTTATATTAAACAGTTGTGCTCGCAGACAAGGAACGGGGTCTATCGTAAAAGTTGTGCAATCTGAGCTGCAGAAACGGCTGCCCAGAACCAGACGGCTCTTATCTGAACTTTTTGCCCTCGATGATGAGTTTTTTAGGTTCTCTGGTTTGCAGACGCTTGTTTTTGTTCTGCAGGAGGGGAGCCAAGGCGGCTGAACAATGAAAGGAAACTAATGCTTACCTCCTCTTCGTGGGTGTTCGAGCCGCGCCCACTCGTAGCTGTTTCTTAAAATGTGAGCATGCAATTTTGAGAGGTCCGCACTAGATAATCCCCAACCGTGAAAGGTTACTTTTGCTAAGTCGTCTGCCCACACCTTTCCCATTCACATCTGTTTTTCGCTTGACAGATAATGACAAATGTTTAATGGCAGATAGTTATGCCTGTTATATAAAACGTCTGTGTCATTATAGCATATCTGATAATGATAGCGTTTTTGTCTGCGGTGCCACTCTCCGCGCCACAACCTGAGCCAGCCATCTTGTCACCGCCCCCGATCTCACCCGGGGGAGCATTCCCTGCCACTGTGCAGCCCCCCCCCCCCCCCCCCTGCGGCCGCGGGGCCCGGCCCAGCTGTGACACGCCATCCGGCGAGGGCTGGGCGGCTGCAATAGCAGGCCATTATCACCCCGGATCGGCCGCCCGCAGTGCCAGCTCATCACTTCTATAATTAAATAACGATTATCGTCGTTGATCGGCCGGCGGGCGGTCGGTGCCCTACCGCCGCTGTCCGCCCGCGCCCCGCCGGCAGCGGCGGCATTGTTGCGCCAGCAGCCGTGTCATCTTCGTTCGGGCCCGAGCCCCGCCGGACAGCCCCCGGCCGAGGGGGGTCGCGGCCGGCGGCTGGCGGCCGGCGACCGGCGTGGCGCGAGCTGCGCTGATTGGACGAGCATGAGACGCCAGTTTGGCGGCGCGCCGGGACGCCCGGCACGGGCCGCGCCCGGCTCCGGCTGTGCCGCCGCCGGGCCGGGTCGGGAGCGCAGCTCGGTTCGGAGGCGTTACAGGGATGCGGTGCCAGACCAGCTCGGACCCCGGCTCGGACGCGACACGAGGATGCCGCACGAGACCAGGATCGGACCCCGGCTCGGACGCGACACGAGGATGCCGCACGAGACCGGGATGGGACCCCGGCTCGGACGCGTCACGGGGATGCCGCACGAGACCGGGATCAAACCCCGGCTCGGACGCGACAAGAGGATGCCGCACGAGACCGGGATCGGACCCCGGCTCGGACGCGTCACAAAGATGCGACTCCGTGACCGTATCGGTGCCGTCCGTCGGCTTACGCGGCCTGATACTGCAAGGCGTCCGGGTAAAAGGTGACGATCCGGTGCCTTGCTTCTTTTACTCGAAGAGCGCGGTGTTTCTTTTCACCCGAGGATTAAATTCGTTTTCTTGGTCGGTTTTTGTGTGGCTCAAGCGCGTGATAACGCTTAAGCAATGATTCATGACTAGGAAAGTTGGATTTGGTCCACTTTGCCAACCTTCGATTAGCTCCGCCACAAAATTTGTCATAACAGCTTGAGGCTATGACAATATCAGTTTTGTGAATCAGCTCCGAGGTGTAGACTGGTGACCGGAAAACATTTAACCACTCTGTTCGTCCAAAGAGGTCGCAACGCTCAATACAACACAATCTACTGTAATTTATCAAACGCTGTGGCTTGATTCTTTTGAAGGAGATGACCTTCCAGCTGTACGTCATTAAATAACCCCGGACCCATCGGATTGGTCTATGACCAGATCATGTAAAATACCCCTAGATGGTCAGCTGAGCCAGCTGACCTAGATGGCGTGGAAATCCACTTCGCGGTGCGCGCATTACAAATTCCGGTCACTAAAATACGGTGCTAATGTTGCTTTTCAAGATGAATTGATTGGGTTTCTGGTCTCACTATGACGCACTCAGCACGACATGTCACGTAGCATGACAAATACACCCGACATTTTTATTCGCATATTTCCATACCCTTACAGCCTTTAAAGAGCAATCAATTCACTCATTACACATGCAGCCAGATGCTTCGCAAATGAACAAAAACGCCGGGCGCCTCAGTTGGCAAACAGCCTTGACGAGCGAGCGGCGGCTGTCTGCCAGATGCATTCCGGCCCGGCAGAGGGTCTCGCTGTTGCGTCTCTGTTGTTGAGTCGACAGACGCGTGACAGGCATCGGAGGTTGGCCGGTATGACGGCCTGATGACTCCCGGTCCCGCAGGGCGGCTCCGGACGATCGCGCGCCGCGTCTTCTCCGTCCGGGCAGGTGAAGAGGCGTGCCGACCTTGAGGGTGTTAGTAGTGCATGAAAATCTTCGCGGACGCTCCGCTGATTAGGCCCTGCTTTCCGTTAGGGTCGGCGCGAGCCGTTTCCACTGACTTGAAATGCCAGATCTGCGGGAATTGGGGACGTGGAGATCCGCGGCATTGAGCGGCCGACGGCTGCGCACAAACCGGTCGCGCTGATAATGGCGCAGCCACACGCCACGTCGGTTCCGGCAGGGCAGTCTGCAGCCCAGCCGTGGGGGAAACATCATGGCCTACTGAAATCTGGTCCCAAGAACTTTTTGGCACGGTGAACTGTTTTTATATTTTGCCGATGTAACTAAGCACCGTGGCGGACGGAAACTCTGAGCATTTGGTCACGCACTTCAGAAATATTCAGTGTGTGGTCGCGTCCCTTCTCCGAGCAGTGACGCTCATCTTGCTCGCCATGGCTTGGCTGCCTCCGCTGTGAGACGGCGGCAGAGCGGCCGTCCAAGGCCTCAGATGGAGTGTGCGCAGCGCCGCTCCGGAGTGAGACGGTGGCAGAGCGGCCGTCCGAGGCCCCAGATGGAGTGTGCGCAGCGCCGCTCCGGAGTGAGACGGTGGCAGAGCGGCCGTCCGAGGCCCCAGATGGAGTGTGCGCAGCGCCGCTCCGGAGTGAGACGGTGGCAGAGCGGCCGTCCGAGGCCCCAGATGGAGTGTGCGCAGCGCCGCTCCGGAGTGAGACGGTGGCAGAGCGGCCGTCCGAGGCCCCAGATGGAGTGTGCGCAGCGCCGCTCCGGAGTGAGACGGTGGCAGAGCGGCCGTCCGAGGCCCCAGATGGAGTGTGCGCAGCGCCGCTCCGGAGTGAGACGGTGGCAGAGCGGCCGTCCGAGGCCCCAGATGGAGCGCGCGCAGCGCCGCTCCGGAGTACCATCTGTACCGGCCGCGTCCGGCCGCGCCCGGCCGTTTTCCCCGCGCGCGTGGCACCTGCGCAGCCATCGGAGGCTGGCGGCTAACGATGTGGCTAATCGGCGGCTAATGTTGCACATCGCGCGCCGTAACTAGACCAAGCTGTCACGGCCGGCCGCCGCCGCGTGGGAGACGCGCCATCTGCCGGCGCCGCCGCCCGCGCTCTGTGTCAGTGGGCAACGCAGCCGGCGCCCGATGAGAACGACGCGTCCTCCGCCGCCGCGGCGCCGCTGCCGCCGTCGCGGCCGGCGTCACCGGCTGTTGCGCCGGCCGCTGCGGCCGCGCGCGGTGCCACTCTCGTTTTCACCTCGTTATTTGTGTTGATTCGACCGACCGCCGGCGGCTTTCGACGCGCGCCGTGACCCGTCGCTATGTGACGTGGACTAGATCGACAGGCTCGACGCATTGGTCATGCACGTGTGGTGTGTTTTAACGGTGCCGCTATGTGCCTTCCTTGCGGCGTGCCCCGTACTCCATAATTATCAATGTCATTCGTCATTCTTGACGTTGACTGCCTTATTGGGCGCACAAGAGGTGACGAAAAGGAAAGCGGCGATTTGTATTCCACGCTACGGCGATGACGCTCATAACCTCGTGCTTGTTCTTTCCAGAAACTATGGACGCCCAGTACATCGTCCCGACAACGAATGCGGAGATGGTGTACTCCCATCAGACAATGTACCAGCAGTATTACCCTGCCATGGACTATCGCTGCTCCCCCGTGGACATGGGCTACTCGGTACGCGCAGACCCCTCTGGTGGCGACCTGTACGCCCGCGGCTACATGGGCCACCTGCCGCCATCCATGCTTGGCACGGCAAACTACGACTACCGACTAATGCCGGGCAAAATGTGCGAGATGCCAGCCGGGCCGCAGGAGAAGAAGGGCAAGGAGGCGCGGATACGGCGGCCCATGAACGCCTTCATGGTCTGGGCCAAGACGGAGCGCAAGCGACTCGCCGACGAGAACCCCGACCTGCACAACGCCGACCTCAGCAAGATGCTCGGTAAGTACACGCGCACAGAGCCCTTGCCGTTCGGCGCCGTGGCCGGCCGCGGCGGCCGACAGACCGCCTCTCCGCGGGCCCACGGCGCCGTCGGCCCCCGCCTGGGCGCCACCTCCCGGTGACCCAGCGACGTCGGACAATGGCGCGGAGCGGAGCGATCGCCGCGCTGAGCCGGGCGCGCCGGCGCGCCTGTGGGAGGCGCCACCGACGCAGCCGCCGCGGCCGCTGCCTAAATGGAGACTGATTGGTCGCGTCGCTAATGGCGACGCTGATTACAAAGCAGCGGCCCTTGATTTAAGTAGGGCGCCCGGTGCTTGACCTGATGTCTGGCCGGCGCGGGCGCCGGCGGAAACCTGCTGAGTAAAGCCGCAAAACGTTCTCGGCGCGCAGCTCCGCGCTGGCGGTCTCCGCGCTTGCCGCTTGCACCCGGCCCGTTCAGCGGTGGTTGTTTATTTTGCGCTCGCGACTTTCACCGCCCGAGCGATTACATCTGCAGCCGCTGCACTTTGTCTCCATTGTGCAAGCGGGCTCTTGTTGCGTGCGATTTCATTATAATGGCATTAAATTTGGTGCGAAGCGCGACAGGTCATGGGAAGCTCGACGGTGACCCGGGCCGGGTAGCACGACCCTGCCGCTGGCACCGTTAGCTTGTGAGGTTGGTACGCAGAGCTGGTTAGTGCCTCAGACGCTGCGCGCTCGTGACATTAGTAAGCAGGTCCAGCTGTGTTCTCAGACCCTTGTTGATCATGAGGTCGGTAAGGGGTTCCGAGTTGGTGCGTCACAGAGTCTAAAGGAATCCCCCCCCCCCCCCCTCCATATCCGGCTCAAATCAGCTGCCAGTGTTGGCGGAGTAAAAGAGCATTTCTTATGTGCTGACAGGTCCCCGTCTGGAAAGCTTTGGTATTTTCAAGCAGCATGCCAATATCCCGACGCATATTCTCGCCAATCTGAGAAGGTGACACTGTTTTTCACCAACCGTGATGACTTTATTCTCCTTACCCTGTAAACTCGTTGCTGAGCTCTGACCCGAAAGGGCGCTGAAGGGATGTGGGCGGGCACAACAAGGACGATGTGACCTGGTGTTGTCCGCGGGCCGCTACATTGTTTCAGCTGACTGCAGGAACAGCTGACCTTGTTAGCCGGGAGGATGCCGCCGCGGGGCACGGGGGGAGGGAGGGGCGACGGCGAACTGCCTGACCCGCTGACGTGAGTGCCTGGGTCTGCGCTGACCCGCTGGTGAGGCCTGTTGATTTGTTGTTGTCCGGTGGCCGGCGAGGGTGCAGGGCGAGATGGCGCCACCCAGATGCGCTGGCAGCGGGCAGCGGCCGGCGGGACCCCCGCCCGCCGCCTCGCCGACGAAGCGCCGGCGAAGGGTGGGAGCGTGCGCCCTTTCCCTGCGACTTGTCTTGATTATGGGAGCGAGGCCGGCGCTCTGGGTCTCCGAGGGGTGGGAGAGTGGGCGGGTTGGAGGGTGGGAGAGAGAGGCCACAGCCGCTCACGCTAACTTATTGAGAGCTAACGGGCGAACAGAGCCAGTAACCCCCAACTCAAAGCTCTCTTCAAGATTTTGGGGCCTTATGATCTGTCAAGCTACACGCTTTCCGGCTCCAATACAGTTTTCACTCCCCCAAGTTTGTGTTCGTTGGGGATAGTTCTGTCTGGGTTCTCTTACCATCTGATTCACGAACCCATTTGAAAATGGGAACACGGCTCCACATACTGATAACTACTCAGAGCCTCACGACCACCGGAGTCACGTGGTCTGCAGCTGCACTCCAGCGCAGCCTAAAGCGCCGCCGCCGCCCTCTACAGCTGGAGCAGACCCCGCTAGTTGGCGACTGGTCTTGTTTCCTCCCTATAACGACTTGATGCCTGCTTTAGCAGGCAGCGCACCGACCTCGCGCGCCGACCCCAGAAACCAGCGCAGCGAAAACCGACTCGGTCAAAACGCATGCGGTGACAGCTTCTCATTTCCTCGTACAAGTCTGGACGGGTGCAGGTGGCCGTGTTGCGTCTGGAGGGCCCGACGTGGCCCAGTTCTGTTCAAGAGCCGTGTTTCACCGGCCGCCTCACAATGAGACATGGCCCGGCAAAAAATGGGGATTAACTCCAAACATCGGAGTGGCGCCTCGTGACCCGCGCCGGGGAATGGGGCCAGCGCGCTTACGGCGGCATGGGGGTGGCTGCGTGGCCCGCGTGAGCAGGAGCCGCCGAGCCGCACGGAGCTCGTGCCGCCGCCGGGGAGGACAGCGTGCCTGCAGCCGGTTACTCTCGCTTTTGAGCGGCGGCGCGCCGTGTACTCGGCCCGGCCGCGGCCGCCGTCCCCGCCGGCCGATTAAGCCGTTGTCGTCGGACTCATTACGGCTGCAACAGAAGCGAGTCCTATTAACCTGTGAACCGGTACTGCAAAAGTCCGACTCCGCCACTCAACCTGAGCCCGGCTTTCCTGCGTCATGACGGACGCCCGCGGCGTAAATCACCGAATGAGCCCGACTCGTGCGTACTGAGTCGAACAGGCACGATCTGCGCTCTCTGAGCAGAACGCGGCTGAGGCTGGCTGGTCAGGCTCGTCAAGACGAAAGACGCAACAGGCCGACTGAGCGCAGGCTCCTGTGCTTCGCTTAAGCTCGAAGCTGAGACGAATTAGCCTGCTGACATCATTCCGCCGATAAATCATACGGAGAGGGCAGCTGCTTTGGTCCGACTGGCATGCGCGGGGATTATCTGAGAGCCGGCTCCTGTGTGGCCATGGCGCAACTGCCACTCAGTCGTACCAAGCTGCCAGGAGCGTTTGTCGACCGATCCTTCTCTATGTAGGCTGTGCTGAACTGGCGTGATGCTTCCAGCAAAATTTCGTTAACCTTGTGGTGATTTCCTGAGCAGAGATGGCATGCTTGTAAACGTTTGTGGGAATTGATTTTCATCAGACAGCGCTGCTAGCTTTAATCCTGTCGAATGACCAGGAGTAGGGTGTGATGGCTATATTTCACCTCTCCTGGTTGTTCGAAGAGGAATAATGCTGTCTCGTCTTATGAAAGTCTTGAATGTTCCTCGCAAACGTACTTAAAAACTTACCCAACACATTTTCATATATTTTCAGGGAAATAAAATATCGCCCTCAGGTGCAGAGCATCTTCCAGCTCTATTCAATATCGGAAGCGACGTACCCCTTATAGCATCTAGGAAGACGGGAGGGGACCTGACCTGGGGACCTGCCCCCCTGACACCGATTGTGAAATCGTTGAGGTACACATTGGGATGAACTAATCTTTCAGTTTGATATCCTGCAAACGTGCAGCTCCTAGAAAGAACGTAGCTGCATTTTCGCTTAGTAACAGTTCCGCAAAATGCCACACAGCTTCCATTGTGACCGGCAATTTGACATTTTTAAAAATGGTGGCAGCCTTTACACACATGATATTGTTAGATATGCGACGTTGACACTTGAGTACTTTAGAACAAGCATTTTACGAGCATTATTATTCTGTGGTGATAAATGGTCAGTCCTTAGATGCATAAGCCACTAGAGCAGACACAGGTGAAATGCTCTTGTTTTTCGACGCCTGCAGATGTCGTTGTACGTCGATCGCGGTGTCAGCAACAAGCATTTTGGTCGAGACGGCATCTTTCCCCACCTAAAATAGCACTACTACAGACTCACCGCGCACCAATGAAAGTGGTTGAATATTCTAGCTATCGCCAGCATTTTATGCGTCGTCAGGCTGCCTAGTAATTGCTGTACGCAAACCGTCAAAAAATCCAGAGCAGAAATAGTACTGGAATGTGGCATCCCTGAGTAAACGCCGCACTACATGTCACACAATCGTGCAGCGGGGAGCCCCGCAGGTGGACAGAATTTCCCACATCATTTTTGTGTACCCATGCGTGTTTCGGGCTGCGTGTCGAGTAACATGCAACATTGAGCCGTCAAAATGTTCCGATGTCTGACATCGTTCGGGATTGTTACATACTATTGCCGTCGTGCTCAGACTCACGCGCCTGGAATGCCGATGCATGGCTGTCTGGGCATTCGTCTTTACGTCAGCCAGACTGTGGATCGAACCTCCGACCGAGCGCGTCGGCTGAGGCCAGGTCAGTACTGCCGGCGCGACTCCAGCCTGAGGGCAGGCTGGCTGCCGGCCTCAGGCGCCAGGTCAAGCTTAGGTCACGCAGGCCGGCGGTCCCAGGCTGTCAAGCTGGACGGCGGCCAAGGCATGAGACTAGGCCGATAGCAGACCGGCAGGCTGCTCCAGGCATGGAATCAGGCTGAGAACGGGCCGGCAGGCGGCTCCAGGCACGGGGCTAAGCCGAAATCATGCTGGCAGGCTGTCCCAGGCTGAGGTCCTTCTGGCAGGCTGTCCCAGGCTGGGGTCCTGTTGGCAGGCTGTCCCAGGCTGAGGTCCGGCTGGCAGGCGGTTCCAGTCCGTGGTCGCACCACCCGCCGACCCCAGGCCCCGGCGAGGCGGGCCGCTGGCTCCGGCCCCGTCTTCGCCGCCGGCGGTTTCTCCGTGACGCCGGTCCGTCTAATGACGGTCCAGGTCGGTGTTAATCGCCGGCCGTTGCACATGAGCCGTGGCGCCTGGTCCAGTTGTTCACGGGCCACCGACCGCACGCGGCCGCACGCGGCCGCACGCGCGCCAGGAATGTCGCCACTCTCTCCGGCCGGCGCGCCCGGTGCCGCTCGGACTCATCGATGCCGCGGGTTTTCATATTGTTCCGCTGGGGCGCCGCTATCGCGGGCCAGCCCCGGGCCATTGGGCAGCGTAACGACCGCGCCCACCACCGCGTGCCGCCTCAAGACATGCTTGGCGGCGGCTTCGACGCTGGTGCCTTTCGAGCGGCCCGCCGGTGAGCACCTAGCTGCAGCTGACACGCGGCCCGCCCCGAGCACCGTCCCCTGACTTCACAGTCAGCAGCATCGACCAGTTCACATCACGGCGCGGCGCGTATCGCCCCGTCTGCATCTTCGCAGCCCCCGTGACCTGGATTAGCCGGCGGCGCGCCTGACCGGTGGCGCTGCTCCAAAACACGGCCGCCGCCGCCGGAATGCATGGCGTCAGGATCGCATTGCATCCGAGACTCATAAGCGGGCCGGAACGACCGGCGTCAGCAGTCCGGGGCC